CTGGGTGTGTGGACTCGGCAGCTGATAAGACATGCCGGCTGTGTGTGCATTGGTGCCCCCAACCCCGAAGGAATGGAGAAAGGATTGTGGCATGGCCATCCCCTTAGGGGTGCTTTCTCTCTCTCTCTCTGTCTCTCTCCCTGGTGAGCACACATGCCCTATGACAAAAACCTCTCAAAAAAAAAAAATAGATAAGTGTCGGTGGGGGTGTGATGAAAGGGGAACTCTCTTACACTGCTGGTGGCAATGTAAATTAGTCCAGCCACTGTGGAGAACAGTTTGGAGATTCCTCAAAAATATACAAATATAACTGCCATATGATCCAGCAATCCCACTCTTTGGTATCTACCCAAAGGACAGAAGAATTCTTCATTGGAAAAGTGCTTGTACATCGATGTTTATTGCAGCACTATTCACAATTGGTAAGACATGGGACCAACCCAAATGCCCCCAAACAGATAAATGGATTGAAAAACTGTGGCACATACACTCTATGAAATACTATTCAGCCATAAAAAAAACAAAAACAAAAACAAAAAAAAACAAACAAAAAAAACCCTGGCTTTTCTCAGAAAGTGGAATAATATGGAAGATTTACTGGGGAGTGAAGCAAGCCAGGCTATGAAGAAGAGACATTGTATGTCCCCACTTAATATATACCAAGTGTCTGCACTCTATGACTGAAACTGACTGAAGGATATACAAACATAGTAAATGGGTGTAAATACCAGATATTGTGTGTGTGGGCCTGAGGAAGGACATTTAGAAGAAAAATACGAAGGCAAAGCATTAATGGGACAAAGAAATATGGTATTATCTGTTGAAGATATTTTATAGTTTTATCAACTGGAATAGGGAGAAATGTTTACATACTGAAATATTTACTTTGTAAGCTAAATAATGTGATTGAATATATAAAAGAAAATGAAATAAATAAAAATAATGAATGGAGGACATAAAAAAAAGTAATTCCACAGTCTCAGCAATCAGCTATTGTTTCAGTAAGAACCTGTCCTCATGATCAAAGCTTGCTGTAATTTAAACTCACAATTCCAAATGTTATATGCTTATGCATATGGCTCTTCTTTTTAAATCTTTGAAAACCCATTATGTGTATGATAAAATGGACATTTATCAAAACAACTTACCTCCCAAGTTCTGAAGCACAGTCTTGAAGTGCCTGTTTGTCTTTAAGGCATTGTTTCAGAAATGCTTGAAACTCTTCATTAGCCCTGGTAATTTGTTCCTGAATATTGCTGACAATTTGTTTAGGCAAGTGTGCATACAAAGTTTGTCCTTCCTGAGTCACTGCATCAAGCTTCCTCTGTCCGTCACTGACTGAGTCCAGGATGTTCTGTTTTAGGAAATAAAGAACATATGAAATACACACTATTGTTTTTCATAGACCTTAGTATATAGGAGCTGAGATAGTAGAACCAGAAAATGGAAACAAAAGCCCAAGCAGAAAGTAAAATGTCTATCAAGGCTGGAGTGAGAATGATGCATGCAATTGGATATAACCAAGACTCCTACGGAAGATGATGCCAGCCGGCCATTGGATTCGGTGAGGACAAACTGATCAATGTCTAGCTGGATAAAAGGATGTTGTCAAGGTGGTGATCGCAATCTCTCCCCATTCTCACTGTTCCAACCTAGTCCAGGTGCCAATCCTTACACAGTGAGTGTGACATCTTTCTAACCATTTCCTCCTCCTCTGATTCATCCTGCACACAAAATCTTGTCCTCTCATCCCTTCTTTCTTGCACCTATTTTTGGGAAGATCTATGTACAGGCATGGCACAGGCAAAAGAATCCCAGAATTCAGTGCTGACCCTGCCTCTTCTCTGACTACAGGGTTGCATTTGCAATGGCCACTTGGACATTTCTTTGTTGAGTTCCACTGTATCTCAAGATTAAAAGGAGGTAATTCAACATGTGAAATCACCACACTTCCTGCAAACAGCTTCTTTTATTCTAACAATGTTCCTACCCTGATTTCTGATTTAATGATTTATACACATGATTTTAATCACCTCCTTGGGCCACAAATCTTCATGGTCCTTATTAATTTTTAAATTATTTTTTAGAATGCTCAACTTAGTATTTAGAATGGCTATTCGAAAAACTTGACCAATACCTAATGTGAACCTATGCTTCTGTAAATCGCTTTTTAACTTTGCCTCTCCTTCCTGAATCCATACTGCTCATAGTCAGTAAACCTATATCTATTACTTCAATTGGAATGTTTCTTATCTTCAAATTTTGATCATAAGTTATTAAAAAAGAATACAAGCCATGTTTCTTCTTTCAAAACACCTCCACAACAGTGATTTAAAATAGATACAATTATTTATACTTTCACTGCTATAAAAATTAAAAGTGGGTTTTGAATGAATCCCAAGACATGGTCAATAAGCTAAAAAAAAAAAGGAAAGGGATGTAGAAATTTTCTAGCTCCAATTTATTTTTTCTTTTTTTTCAGGTTGCCTGTTTCCTTCTGAGCAGTAAACCTAACTATATAAGGGAAGAAGAAAACATTGACTAAAATAAGATTTGGGGAAAGAGATGCTTTGGGTCTGACCTGTAGCCACTCAAGTACGGTTTGCAGAAAGAAGGGTACAGCTTCTTACCTGAAGGTCATGGAGCTTTGCCTCTAGAACTTTGCTGTCGCCACTTCGATCTGATGATTCTTTAGCCACAGTCTTTGCTCTCAAAAACCATTCTTGGAATTCCTGCATAGAATCTTTTGAAAGTAATAACAATCAGAATTAAATCCAAAACACTGAATAAGCATCTAGGGTTGCCACAATGAGTTATTTCTGACCTTCAGTCCATCTCAACTAGCCTTACAAATTATTTCAGAAAGAACATGATTAGAAAATAACACAGCATGGTCTATACCCCATGACTATTCATGGCAGAATTGAGAAAATCATCTCAGAAAAAGGTCCAAAATGAAATATGTATTTTTTTAGAGGTTTTTTTCTATAGGGTGCATGCGCTCACCAGACAGAGAGAGACAGAGAGACAGAAGGCGATAAATCACCCCCCAGGGGGGATGGCCACGCTGCAATCCCTTCTCCTCCATTCTCCTCTTGGGATCTTGGGCACGCGCGCACACATGCCTGGCATGAGTTTTAAGCCACCGGGTCCGGGACGCGAACTGCGGTCAACTACGTGGGAGTCCAGAGACATAGCCATTACGCTAACTGCTGGTCCCGAAATATGTATTTTTGGAAATCTGCATTTCATTGGGTTTCTTTCTTTTGGTAAAGAAAAGTAATTAATTGCTGGCATACATGAAAGTGCAAGGGTAGAAATACTTCAGGGATGGGTACCACATCTTCTTTCCACCAGGTTGACTTAGAGAGTCATTACACATCCACCTCAGAGCACAGGCACTGCTGTGTGGGAATCAGAGGGAGGGACCTAGGACTGGCTGTTCTTGGATTGTGTGGCTGGCGCTATTTGACGGCCTTCACATCCAAAATACTGTGTCACTCCATCATAGCACAGATACATTCAATAGTTATTTAGACAGTGGCTGCTACCCACTTGAACAGAAGTCATTTTCCACAGTAACATGCATGAGCTAGATGTAGACAATCCAGATAAAATTTGGAAACATCAAAATGATAGACCCCTAATTTCTTGGGGAGAAAGAGGAAGAATTCTATGCAGAATAAGAGCTCCAAGCATAGCACTTCTATTGATGAAATCTCAAAGCACAAATAAATTTAAAATAATATCCTTCTGGAAAGTTCCCTCAAACTTCTGCTGACAGTTTCTTGGGAGTATTTGGTTTAGAGTTTTTTCTTATAAACAAATATTCATGCTAAGATCCATCAGAACTCACCATTGAAGTGTTTTTCCAGAGAATCCTGCAGGCTGGCCTGAGTTTTGGAGCACATCTGACTCACAGCTTCATGCTTCTTTATCAATCCAGTCATGGCACGGCCCAGGCCCTCCAACTCAACTGAATGGTACTTGCGGCACAAACTGTTGAGATTTTCTTGGGTCAAGATGATGCTGCCTTGTTGACTTTCAAGTTCTTTTTGTATATCCTACAGAATAAAAGTATACTATGAAGGAAACCAGCGGTTGGAGTAATGGTTACGTTGCTAGACTCCCATGTAGTTGACCACGGTTTGAGTCCTGATCCTGTGGCTTAAACTCATACCCGGTGCTTGTACATGCGTGTCCAAGATCCCAAGAGGAGAATGGTGGAGAAGGGATTGTAGCGTGGCCATCTCCCCTTGGGGGGTGGGGGTAGTGGTGGTGATTTCTCATTTTCTGCTTCTGTATCTGTCTTTCTTGTGAGCCAACATGTCCTATAGCAAAAACCTCTCCAAAACAAAAAGTATACAGTGAAGTATATTTATCACAATCCAGAGAAATACTCCATCTACTCCACTGTGGTATTATCATTATTATATCTGAACTTGATTACACTCAGTAGTATACACATTTTGGTGGAGTTTTTTTGTTTTGTTTTGTTTTCAGTCCTTGTGATATAACTGGATTAATACTTTCAGAATTTTGCCCATTTCTCCTAGGTAACAAAGAGTCATTGAGAACTGGCTAGAATACATGCAGTAGTGCAGGATTTTGAACAAATTAATAGGTCCTTATAGATTCCAGCCCATGAACTTGGGTTCAGTTTCTTATTAGAAACCATCATAATTCACAGTCTTCAATGAGCCACTTGGGCTTTGTTTTAGCATCACGGGTGACACCAAAAGCACCAATAGTTAACTTAAAAATATATGTATTTGGGCTGGTCCTGTGGCCTACTGATTAAGGAAGCTGGCTCCCATATGGCAAACCATGGTGTGAATACTGGCCCAGCAACTTGAAAAACATTCTGAGGGGATGTGTGCCCAAAATCTCAACAGAATATTTTGTGTATATTTATATGTCCCCAAGTCAGGTGGTGGTACAGTGGTAACACAGCTGGGCCCATAAGAGAACTCCCTGAGTAGGCCATGACCTGAGCCAGTTAAGAGTGGGGGTGATCACAGCATGAAGACCTTGTTGAGGTTGCCTTTATCTCCCTCTCTCTCTCATGGAAGAAATACAGTTTTTGGAGTTATAAATAGAAATAAACTAATAATCCAATATTTTTTAAAAAGCAAACATATATGTCCATAATCTCATTACAGTAATAAAATGTGCTAAAAGAGAACAGACCATACCTTCAAATACTGAAAAATTAACTGAGGCACATTGTTCACAAGCAGCTGATTAAGAATGTTATTCATTAATATGGACAGACGAGATGGGAGTGGAATGGTTTCTCAACTCCTTTATTTTTCCCCCAAAATATACCACTGTCTAGATGAAAGCAGTTATACTGAATAACAAGAATAATTCAGTGCTAAAAAACTATCTGGCATTCTGGCATTTATGGCAAGTCCAATAGCTAATCTATAGGTTCCAGCCTTTAATCCCACCCCCCAGAGACTGTTTTTATTTTTTTTTAAAATAATGATGCATTTTTGCATAGAAAAACATATGAAAATACATGATGACTTTGCCAACAATCTAATTTTAAAAAGTCTGGACTAAGGGCAGGCCCTACAGCAACACTTTAATGCATACTTTATGTTTCTAGATTATTCATTGTTGGTTTCTTAATAATTTCATGTACTTCTTTACCTGCTGCTTACTTTGCTGTGTACAATACCATAAATGAGCTGATCTGCTGATACTATGGGCGACTGAAAGCAGAGGTTATACTATTTAGTACAGTCACTATAAAATGTGAAAACTATTATCACCGATCAAGCAAACACTGAATGATTATGTCCTACCTTTACTTTCTTCAGCCCTTCACAAGTCTCGGTTTGGGCACAGAGCACCAAGGATTCTTCCACTTTTGTCAGCCACCCTGTTATGTCATTGACAAATTTCTCCACTTGGGTACTTTGAGCAGTGAAATCTTTTAAGGTTACTTTTGCTTCTTCGGTTATTTCTTTGGCGTGCTCTAGTTTCTGCCTTAAGTCTGCTTCTATAAACTAAATACAAAGCAAGATGTTATTAGAATCTGTGAAGAGCAGAAGAACACTCATTCACTAGGAATTCTATTCATGCGTGACTTACATGTCAAAAACACAAGCCTCACCATGGAAGCTGGCTCACACACTGGTTTTCCAAGGAGGAAGACCACTCAGTACAAGTAGTTAAACATATTAAGTGATGGGAAGATGGGAAGAATAAGGATTGCAGCTAACACTGGATGTGGGGGTGGCAGTTTGGACTAAGTTCCAGGGAATATGTGACATCACCTTCTGAAAGCTGAGCTGGATGGACACAGAATTACCAAGGAGATAACCAAAAACTTGTTCTTAGTTCTCCTCGGAAATGTTCCACATTTTCTGTCCATATGTAGCCATTGTACAGGACAAGCACCATTAAAAGATTTTATCATTGGGACCAACAGTTGTCGTAATGGCTATGTTGCTGGATTCCTATGTAGTCAACAGCGGTTCGAGTACTGGACCCGGTGGCTTAAACTCACTCTGGGTACATATGTGTGTGTGTCCAAGATCCCAAGAGGAGAATGAAGGAGAAAGTATTGGGGTGTGGCCATCCCCCCTGGGGGGTGATTTCTCACTTTCTGTCTCTCTGTCTCTCTGTCTTTCTGGTGAGCATATGTGCCCTATAGCAAAAACCTCTCCAAAAATATATATATATCATTTTAAAAATTCTATTTATGTTTCCCATTGTCCTTGTAAAATATCTGGTAGTTCTTTTCTTTCCCCAGGATGATACTAGGTGGTTGGAAAAACCATTATGCATTTTTGCACAGAAAAATATGTCATGACCTTCCCAATTACCAAATATATTTCAGGAGGGTTGACTGTCCTGGTGCCTTAGTTAAGAAAAGCCTTATAGTCACCCAAACTGCAAAACAGTCTCAGTTCAATTTAAGCATCCAGCCCTCCTTAGTAATCAAAACGTTGAACCTAACATGAAATTGAAGCTTTACGTACTTACTCCCAGCTCAGATCTATAAGCAGGCAGCCCACACTGGGGAAGGGAGTTCAGGTGTCTTTTTTCCCTTTTTCTTTATTTTATTTCTATCCTCCCATTCTGTATAACTTATGGCCCCTGAAGGCTTGCACTGGCAAGAGGTGGGCTGTGGAGTCTGAGTAGTTTTATCACCATCATAAGCTAGCATTTGTGTTCGCTAGGCCAAGCGATATTTACATTCATTCTGCTGAGGGGCCTTGGTCCATGGGTTTTCCTGAGAATCTCCATGCCTCCGCCCCCAACACACACACCTCAGTGCTAGGACCTCTTACTGAAGCTCCTGGACTCAGGGAATACACTCCTCTCTGGCTCTTTGCCTTTTTCTTCCTCAGCTTGTAGGCATCTCTGCACCTTCTCCCTGCTGAGTCTCCTCTTCCTCACAGCTGTCCTCCTGGGCAAGCTCAGATGGCCTCACACAGTGGCCTCCGACTTCCTTTTCCTACGTGGTTCATGAATGAGCCAGGGTCATACACTGGCATTAACCTCTTACTGATGCAGGTCCCATAGTCACCTTTGTCAGCAGGCAGCCAGTCTGTCACCTATAGAGCTCTCAGGAGGTAGAGACTAGAACCTTATGCATGCTGATTGCAGGGGACAAATATCCTGTTCTCAGCTGGTTTTACTGAAACACTTCTGTCTGGGCTTGAGGTAAAGTAAGGCACTCCTGCACCTCTTCCTCCAGTGCATGGATGTGTGTGTGTAGCATGTGTGTGTGCATGTGTGTGGGAGAAAGACCACAGAAGCACTTCCAAAATACTGTCTTGATCTTCACTGTGCAAAAGTTCAGTTCAAAACCTGCTGAGCTTGCCCTGCAGCCTAGTGTTTAAGGGAGGTGGCTCTCACGTGGCCAATTCACTGCTCGAATCACTGTCCCAGCAGCTTGAAAAACACACCTGGCACGTGCGTGTATGTCCCAAATCCTGACAAGATGGAGAAATGGGGGAAACAGAACTGTAACGAGACCATGCCCCATAGGGCAAGGGTGATTTCCCCTCTCACATTCTTTGTCACTCTGTTTTTCTCTCTCTTTCTAGTGAATACATGTGCCCTCTGGCAATTAAAAAAAAAAAGTCCAAATGTTGCCCCTTGGTCACCTCAGTGCCCACAGCATAAGCAGACAGTCTTAAGTTTGTATATAAATGGCATCCCATCTGCTTCTCTTTTCTTTTTTCTTTTTTTTTTTTTTTGAGAGGTTTTGCTATAGGGCACGTGCGCTCGCCAGAAAGACCGAGAGAGACAGAGAGATAAAAAGCGAGAAATCACCCCCCTGGGGGAGATGGCCACGCTGTAATCCCTTCTCCTCCATTCTCCTCTCGGGATCTTGGGCACGCACGCACACGCGCCCGGCATGAGTTTAAGCCACTGGGCCCAGGATGCAAACTGTGGTAGGCTACATGGGAGTCCAGCGACATAGCCATTATGCTAACTGCTGGCCCCTGCTTCTCTTTTCTTCAGGCAAAGCTTTTGACACTGCTGTACATAGATATCATCTACAGCAGGGACGGACAGATGGACAACGCAGTCTCAGGTCAGGGCAAAAAGTGATTGAGCTACATCGATTCGTTAGCATGAAGTGGCAAATCGAGGATCAAGACACGAGAGGGAGAAAATGGAGAGAAAAATCCACAAGAACAGTCACAAATATAGAGGTGGACAGGGATGCAGCAGTCTCAGTCTGGAGCCTAGGGCTGGCAGCTCAAAAAGACCAGGCAGGCTGGATCCCTCTTGCTACTGGAAACTCCTGGCTAGCCTGCTCTGTCTTGCCCTGCGTCCTGGTCCTTGTAGGTGGTGCCATGTAAAGGTCCTTGAAGGGAGATTTGCAGTGGTAGTCCCTCCAAATCCAGTAATTGAGAAAATAGACTTGGACAGTATCAATAAGAACATTTATGTTCATAAAAGCATGTTCTGTTCCTGTCTAGTCAAAATCATCCATGAGGAAAGCTGGATTTAGTAAGAAAAATAATGAAATTTAGTAAGAAAAATAAAAAGATAACGAATCTTATGGTAATATGAGTTAGAATTCTGCTTTTAAGACTGGTACATGGTGAGGCCAGCAGGTAGCATGGTGGTTAAGGAGATGGACATTCCCACATGGCTAACCATGGTTTGAGTCCCAGACCTGGTGGCTTGCTTTCTCATATTCCTACTCTCTCTCTCTGTGTCTCTCTCTGGTCAAATTAAAATACACAAATAAATAAATAAAGTTAAATAAATATGTTTTTTAAATACTGGGACATGGAATTCTAAAGCTATTAATATTTAAAACACTCATATATGATAAGAACCACATATTTGCTTGGAATTGTGAAAGGAAGGCCAATGGGAACATATAAAACTTTTTTTTTAGTAGGGAGGAGTGGGGAAGAAAGAGAGACAGATACAAAGAAAGGGAGAGTCTAGGACACAGCAGTTCTTACAAAACGAATGCAGTACTGACCTGCAGGTCTGGCGGTGTATCTGGATTTTTAGTTAATTCTTTAAGATCATTAACTTTGGATTGTAGTTCTTCTAACCTCAATGCCTTGTTTTTAACTTCAATCTGTTAAAATAGAAAGCAAAAGGTATAAGCATAACTTACCAAATACACTTACATGCCATATTTGGGATTTAATATTTTTGAGGGATTACTTTGTCAAAATGCTCCAATTTCAAGCCAGCATGGGTTGGGAAGATTTCCATTCCATTTTCTAAGAGCTGTTATTACTTACACATGTGGGAAAATAGTACGATTAACATTCACTTGGAATATGAAAGA